GAATAGTAGAAGTATTAGTTACGGCAGTAGTTTCTGCTTTAACATTTTGATCCTACTCTTCACTTTTTGCTAAATGTTAGCATTGCTGAAACAGTTACAGATGCTCCTGTGTAACTTTATCATAATCAGTGAACCATTCAATAAATATGAACACAACTTTACACAGATTTAAAAAAAGAGTTAAACCCAGTAATTTGAAATTAATCTTTCAAATTATATTTTATCTTCTGAAAATTCTCCGAAGATTTTGTTACAACCACTAAAAGAGGACAAATATAATGTTAATTCACTGTATGTTATTTTCGTTACACTTCTTAATGTCTGTATAAAACAGGTCATATGCTTGTTTTCATTGGCTATGCATCAGTGAATTTTTCAAAAATGCATTTTCTGACACCAGTGTTATGGCACATCTCGTCGTGTGTGTTTTATTTTCTTTGTTCCTTTTTTAATTGAATCCGTCCAATACTTAAGGGCTGTACGTTTGTTAATCCTCGTGTTGATGCTCGTGTTTGGCCTTAAAGCAACAAGTGAGGACAGCGAGGGCACTCATTCGTAAAAACAAACATCATGTGACAATGGCTGTTTGGGTTTTAGAAGGGTGGTTGTATGAAGTACTGACATGTAACTATGAATTGCTAGGAGTTGAAGCATTTACAGAAAAAAGTAGAAAAAAATTGAAATTTTTCAAGAAAAAGGAATCATTTTATAAGAAAAAGGTCAAAAATGTATGAGAAAAAAATATGTAAATGAAGAAGGATAAAGTCATTATATCAATGTCACAGTGAAGGCAGATGTCATTGTGGTCAGTACTAATGTCAGTACTTCATTTAACCACCTGGAAAACCTTAAACAATCTCTTTAACAGCTCCATATCTCACACTTTTGATCTGTGTGCCATATGTGTTTTAGCTGCAGGTAAGTTATTTTTTGAAATTTTGCTTCACTTCATGTTTTTTTCTTTTTTTCTTTGACTTTTATGAAAGTGTGTGTTGTTCATCTCACGGTAACTGTTTTTGATTTAATTTATAAGTTGTTTTTCACATAGTGAGACGGCCATTAAAACTCAGAAACATCATGTTTATGTTACTGGTGGATGAATTCACTCTAAATTCATTCAAAAACAAGGACAAAGGGATGAATGCGGATGTTTAGAGCACTTTAATCCTTTTCCCTGTTTTTATTTTTTTTTAAGCGCAAGGGAACGTGAATCTGATCCCAAAAAACATGTTTTTTCTACATCTGTTTTTTCTTGATGTATTTACTCATTGCTCAGTTGCCTCCAATGTCGCCACCCTCATTTGTAGTGGTGTAAGTGCAGCAACAGCTGTATTTGATTCACTTCCTGTTTCCTGTAACAAGCTGTGAGTGTGAATGTTTTTTTTCTTTACCTGAGAAATAAAATCAAATCTTTAAAATCAGATTTTCACTTGGGTTCATTATTTTTTTTTAATATAAAGAACATTTTTAAAGTCCACCAGGGCTCAGGTGTTGCTAAGATTTTCATGGCCGTCTCAACTTCAGCACTCTTGTCACTTTATCATTCTGCCAAAAAAAACAGTGGAAATTATAATATTAATACTGTCACTGTGAAATAGTAGAGTATTTACAAAAATATAGGTTTTTCCTCAAGAATGAATGACAGAGTATATAATGATTTTTTTTATATTTAAAATACATTAATTCTCCTTTTATTTATTTGAATTGTTTAAATTATGGGAAGTAATAAAAGTGTGTTTAATTTCACTAATAATTGTTCAAAATAGTTTAAATTCTAAAGAACAGAAGTAAAATCCACATCAATGATCTTGATCCATCGTAGATTCAAATTTTTCTTACTTTTCTTTCTTACATAGAGGTAAGATTTTACTTTTGTTTTAATGTAGCTTCCTGGTTTAATGATGGTCACCTGACATGTGTAGAAGCTAGTACACAGGCAGGAAATATTAAACACAATATAAGTAAAACATATAGTTTAATGTTAAAATAATTAATCTTAAAATAATTATTAACATGAATATTTTGACTATTGTGTAATTGTAACATAAAAGTAGTAACAGTTCACATCCATCATGTTGGTGATGTTGCTGTTGGTGATGTTGCTGCTCCAACAAATCTGTGGTTGCGATGAGCAATAACAGTTCTGTAGATTGAACACTTAATTTGGTGTCAAATGAAAAATGTTAATTTTTTATTGTGGACATGAAGCCTTTTTGGCCTGCTTGTCTTCATTTCCTGCCAGTTTGGAATGGTCTTGGCTTGATGCAGACGTTTTTATTTCAGTGTCTCAGCAGGAGGTGTTCTCCTCATCTTTCTCCTCCTCCTCCTCTTCTATTTCTTTTCTGATGTTACGATCGACTCTGATCAGAAACAATAAATTGGCTCATCATGTTTAATGTGCTTTATTCTTTAGCAGAGTTTGGAGGAAGTCCACTTCACTAATGAGCCTAAATCCTGAATCTCTGAAATATTTTTCATCTGACGCCAAATTGGTAGAAGAATTTTTAGACACCAAAGAAATGGGACATTTAGGACAAACTTATACAAATAGTTTGCAGTAGAGAATCTGAGATTAGAGACTAACCTTTGGGTTGATCTGGTGTTTTTGTTTGACCCTGACGTTTCTTAGACCTGAGATCATCCATGTCAGATGAACTCAGGTCAATAGAACTGGACTGAACTGCTCCTGGCTGTTTACAGAGTCATTCAGATTTCATGTCGTGATAGACAAAAGGTTCAAAAAGACGAGAACATACAAAGAACAGAAACAGAGTTGCAAAAGAAAGTGTGAAAATTTTTTTAATGACATAAGAAATCCCCCTTTTTTTCAGCTTCCAGTCTGAAGATGACTGAACAAATCAGTGATGACGTTTTTCCTGTTCCTGTACCTGTGGCTTCCATTGTACCTACTGCCACAGATGATCCTCCTTCCCCTGCTGCCAAGGAGCACAAACCGAGCAGGAAGAGCAGCGATCGACCTGGAGAAGAGTCTGACAGCGACTTTGAATCAGATCCAGCTTCACCTAAAAGCAGTGAGGAAGAAGAGGCTGAGGAGGAAGAAGGAGAGGAGGGGGAGGGGCTGAACAGTGAGCATGGAGAAGATAATGAACCAGAAAATCTGGGCCAAAGACCTTTACTCATGGACTCTGAGGAGGAGGGCGATGAGGAGCACAGCTCCGACTCAGACTGTGATCCCAGCAAAACCAAGAGCAGCTCAAAGAAACCTGGGAAATCTGCTGCTACTGCCACCACCAGAAGGATGAGCCCTCAAGTCCATTCCTCGACCTCTCTGATCACACCACCTGAGTCGCCTGCCGCAGCTCAAGCTACAGCAAGAGACGTGGATGTTTTTGGAGCCATGCCATTCGTCAGTGGTGTGTCTTCTGCAGAGCCTTCAGAAGCCGCTGACATCTTCGCCAAAGCGCCATTCAGACAAGTTAGCCACGAGAAACACATTGGTGTAAAGGCTGATGAGTTTGATGTTTTTACCAAAGCACCATTCAGTCGAAACCTGTCAAAGCCTGGATGCAGTAGCAGTGACATACCTGTGGGGCAAACACCGCCCCTCTCCCCTGAGAGCATTGACATCTTTGGCTTCTCTCCCTTTCAACCCAGCTCAACGGCGCCCCCTCCAGTCACTTCCAGGAGTGCAGATGATATCTTCCACCCAAGCTTTGAGGAATCTTGGAGTCCTCAGCAACAGCGGCTAAAACAGCGCAGCCTCCAGAAGCTCTCATCTCGTCAGAGAAAGACCAAAACTGAGGCTGCTGCTGGCAAACGGCACCATGGTACACCCACAGGGGGGCGCAAGAGCAACAAACCCACATACCGAACGCCAGAGCGAGTCCGCCGCCACAAGAAGGTGGGACGCAGGGACTCACAGAGCAGCAATGAATTCCTAAGCACCTCTGATTCTAAGGAGAACATCAGCTTGGACTTCACCATGACAGACAGTAAAGACAAGGCGGGCTCTCTGCCAGCTGACGACACCCTATTGGACCCGTTTGGAGCCAAACCGTTCCACCCTCAGGATGGCTGTCGGCATCAGGGAAATGGTGATGGGAAGAACGACATGAGTGCAGCCAACAGCAAGACGTGGACGGGGCCTTTAAGTGAGTGCAGGATCATGGACGACTTTGGTGCAGTGCCTTTTACAGAACTGGTTGTCCACGGCGGACCACAACAGCATCAGCAGGGGATGACCTCACAGCCGCTAGAGCTGGACCCATTTGGAGCGGCGCCGTTTCCCTCGAAACAGTGAGGATCTTCCCAAATCCTTTTCCCAATGAAATGTTCATGTTTTCACACAACCACGGTTTAGTGAGGTTATGAAGCATACTGTATGTAACATTTTCTTACAGCTCTAACTTTGAATGAGAAAAAAACCCAGTGGACTGAGCGCCAAACGTCTGCTGAAGCCTTTCGTGCTGCAACGAACCATAAGAAAACAGGAAAATCATACTGTGATTAAACGCTTCGATGAGAGGTCTACGTGTTCTAATGTGAGGTTGTACTGTATGTGGTACTGAACCACAGCACCTCCTGCTGCTGAAACTGGCCACCTTAAAGAATAAAATTCCACAGGGAAAAGAATTTGTAGCCATTTACAGTGGACTTTTTGGTCAACACTTCACACTCCCCTGACCAAAGACCTGAAAGACAATGAGTGATTTGAGCTGATAGCTGATGCAGGAGCTGCTGGTCTGCTGCTGCCTCCTGTGGTCAGTTTGTGTCACAGAATAAATGCCAATGAAAGATTTCATTACGTCTTTCATTACTTGATATTCATTTTCAGATGACATAGCAGCAGTTGATCTACAGCTCAAGCCACTCATTGTCTCTTGGGACTCTGGTGTAGTAGAACATGTGAATCAAATGTTCCTCAGCTCTGATACTGCGTGTACTTCTACTTACATTTCCAGATACCTGATTATTTTCTCCAAACATTTTTTTAAATATATATATGGAGCTGTTTTTGCCTTTTCATGATTGTTTTGTTGTCAGCACCCTGAAGCCTTAGCTGAGCTTAATGTTGAAGCTTTGCCGTCACTTTAGTGTCACAGGAATCCCATTAGAAATGACTGTACCCACTCTGCATTTTATGTGGTTTGAATTCCTGTCTATGCATCACCGTCACAGCAACTACGTCTGTGTGTTCTTACCTGGACGACTGAGAAGGGAACCAATCTTTTATCCTACTTCCTTGAGTAAATTTTAGGCAATGATCTGTTTACTTTTTTAAAAAAAAAAAACTGATTGTTTTATGTGCTATTAAACCTGTCATGATGTTTTGACTCATTCAGTTAGAAATTAAAAAATAAAAATCACATTTGATTCACATCTTGAAACGTGTGGTTTTCTTTTTGTACAAATAAATAAATGTTATTTTATATAACTTAAGTAATATTATTAATTTACACATTTTAAACTGAAATGTAGTTTGGTTTCCCTAAGTTTTATTACATGTCGTCTTTTTGGTTAATTTATGTTTTATTATTAGTTATTTTTGGATGACAAACTCTTTCAACTAATTTATTTTGCTTATATGTTGCAATATAGAAAGGTGTCAGAAAAGAAATTAGTTGAAGTCAGGTATAAAGATTTATATGTAGTATAAGTAAGGTGTATGGGCCCATCGGACAAAAACAGGCTACTTGGGGGTTAAATCCGACCTGACTGATGAATTTTAAAAGTTAAAAAAAAGTTTTTATTAACATGCTATTTCTAAATTACCAATTTACCGATGACATACCAGTCGAAGTATGGAAGTGTTTAGGAGAAGTGGTGGTAGATTTCCTGACTAGGTTGTTTAACAGAATTTTAGAGACTGACAAGATGCCTGATTAAAGTTTTTTATAGAGAAAAATATTTGGCTGTTTTTGGAAAAATCCTAACTCGTGTGTCATGTTTTTCGGCAGGTGAAAAATTTTGATGAAAATTTTTAGAAAAGAAAATCTTGTTTAACTGTTCTGCATGTTTCTCATCAAATTAAAGGATTTTTCCAAATTCTTAGAATTTTTCAGCAAAAGTTTGCATGTTATTTCTGTTCAAATGGAGATCAATTATGATGGAATAGTTTAGATTTTTTTAATACCAAAATTCAATCTTTTTTGCATGTTTCTCATCAAATAAGAGCATTTTGAGAACTTTTTTCAAAATGTTATTTTTTGGAATATTTCAGCAAAATCTTAATTTTGCATGTACCCTGTACATACTGTATATTGTACAGTATGTCCACCAGTTTTCTGAAGTTGTAAAAATTTGATTCATTTAATTTACACCACAGCGAGTTAAAAGCACTTCATATTGTTAAAATGTTTACTTTTGTGAAGAAGAAACAGTTATACCAGTTGTGGTCTGTTGAGGTGCAATAGAATTAAACCTCTGTTCAGGTACCTGTTTTTGCTTTTCACTTACTTAAAACTTTCACAACTTAAAAGAAAGAAATAACGCAATAGCTACTTTCCCTAGTAACTAGTTACTTTTATAGTGGAGTAACTCAATTACTAACTCCATTACTTTTTGGGAGAAGTAACTAGTAACTAGTAACTATAACAAATTACTTTTCCAAAGTAACAAGCCCAACACTGATAAACATACGTGCCAAAATCTTTTAAAAATGAAATATGTTCAGACAAATATAGAGCACTGGGGCATACACTTTAGCTCCGGCAGGTGGCAGCATGTGCCGTAACTTCGTTTGGCACTTCCAAGAGTATTGCTGGATATACGATATTTAAAACCATGTACACAGAAAAAGAGGGGGATAAGCCCGCATTGAGAGTAAAACTGACAAATTACAAGAATGTAATAAAGAGAGTGGAAGCAGTTACAATGCAGAGATGAACAGCCAGCATTAAACAGTTTTAATTAAATGCAGGTCTCATGCTTGTTTTTTCTTTTAGTTAATGTAGTTGCGTGAGCAACAATAACTTTATATCAATGTTTCACAATTTTGATACATACAAAGAATCAAAGAATGCTGCCAAGTGTTTTTGTCCCACAGAGGGAAATTCTGCAGTGCAATTACCAAGACCACAATGCTTGTCAAGTCGTACATTTGTCTGAACTTCCTGTGGCAGCATGAAATAAGTGGACATTTGAATGTTGTGTAGGTTGTTTTCACCAAGGTTCTCATGCCTTAGTATCCTTGCAGTGCTTTAAAAAGGATCCTGACTCAACCTACTCACATTGCTGTCATTAGTGGTTGCAAAAGCCCACTTTCTCCACCATTAGGACGTGTTTGGTTTTATGAACTTTTACACAAAAGCAACTTGATAATCTTTATTTACAGAACCAAAAATCAGCATAAAACACTGAAAAGTACAATACACTGTCAGATCTTTCTGAGTTGGGTAAACTTTAACACCTTGCTTGACAGGTTTCTGAAAGAGAAAAAAGTTTCCGGAAAGACTCGAAATTTAAGCGTCTTCTTCAGCCTCCTCCTCAAAATCATCCTCCTCTTCTGCAGTGGCATCCTGGTATTGTTGGTATTCAGACACCAGGTCATTTATGTTGCTCTGTGCCTCAGTGAACTCCATTTCATCCATGCCCTGACCAGTGTACCAATAAAGAAAAGCCTTGCGTCTGAACATAGCTGTAAACTGCTCAGAAATGCATTTGAACAGCTCCTGTATGGCTGTGTTGTTGCCAATACATGTGGCAACCATCTTGAGACCACGTGGAGGAATGTCACAGACTGCGGTCTTGACACTGTTGGGGATCCACTCAACAAAGTAGCTACTATTTTTGTTTTGAACGTTGAGCATCTGCTCATCGACTTCCTTCATGGACATCAGGCCACGGAAGATTGCAGGTAACGGCCATGACGTGGATGACAGGCAGCCATCATATTCTTTGAGTCAAACATCTGCTGTGTCAGCTCTGGAACAGAGAGAGAGCCCTATAATGCTGGCTGCCCCTGCTTGTGAGAGGAGCAAACCCAAGCATGAAGAACTGCAGGCAAGTGAATGGCATCATGTTGACAGCCAATTTGCGTAGGTCAGCATTGAGCTGACAAGGAAACCTAAGGCACATGGTTACACCACTCATGGTGGCAGAGACCAAATGGTTAAGGTCACCATATGATGGGGTTGTGAGCTTGAGGGTACGAAAGCAAATGTCATACAAGGCTTCGTTGTCAATGCAGTACGTCTCATCTGTATTCTCTACAAGCTGGTGGACTGACAGTGTGGCATTGTAGGGCTCAACAACTGTATCTGACACCTTGGGTGAAGGCACCACACTGAAGGTGTTCATAATATAGTCAGGATAGTCCTCCCAAATTTTGGTTATGGGTAAAGTTCCCATACCAGAACCTGTACCACCACCGAGAGAGTGTGTGAGCTAGAAACCTAACCCAATTGTTGCCAGCTCCACTGTTACCTGTTAAAATACAACATGGTTTGTATTATTGCAAATTAATTCAGTTTCTTAAAAAAAAACAAAAAAAAAAAACAAGTATAATTAAAAATTAAAAATACATACCAAAAACAAAATTGTCTGGTCTAAATAAACCTGGCCCTTTCCCACCTAAAAAAGAAGAGAATATATAAGCATTTTAAACCAATTGATAAAGTATGACAAATCACAAAACGTACCAGTGGCTTCATTGTAGTACACATTGATCCTGTCAAGCTGCAGATCACTGTCACCATGGTAAGTTCCTGTTGGATCAATGCCATGCTCGTCACTAATGACCTCCCAAAACTAAAGTTACACAATTAAAACAATAAAGTACAGTTGTTGCCTTTTTCTTTTCATTTAAGAATATCGATGAACCATTTTAAGAAGTTGAACACATTTTATTTGAAGATATTATCAATGATACCAAGACACCCGCGTTGCCTAACCAGCTATTGGCTGATGAACCGTTTAAGAATTCAAAAAGGCCATCACAAACGACCAAAGATCTGAAATGGCTGTGGTAAACACCTATTTCCAAAAGTAAGAGGAGCACAGGGTGACGTACAAGAGTGGAGGCAGGTCCACACAGATAGATTATATTCTATGGAGGAGAGGTAATCTGAGGGAGATTAGAGACCGTAAGGTGGTGGCAGGTGAGAGTGTAGCCAAACAACAGAAGACAGAGCAGAAGATCAAGTGGTGGAAACTAAGGAAACTATGTTGTGAAGACTTCAGGAAGAAAGTAAGGGCAGTTCTGCGCCGTGTTGAGAAATTACCAGATGATTGGGAGACTACAGCTGCAGTGATTAGGGAGACAGGTAGGAAAGTGCTAGGTATTTCCTCTGGGCAGAGAAAGGAGGACAAAGAGACCTGGTGGTGGAATGATGAGATCCAGGAGAGTGTGCAGAGAAAGAGATTAGCGAAGAAGAGATGGGACAGTGACAGAACAGAAGAGAACAGACTGGAGTACAAAGAGAGGACAAGGGAGGTGAAGATGGAAGTGGCCAAGGCCAAACAAAAGGCATATGAGGAGTTTGGAAACAAAGGAAGGAGAAAAGGAGTTGTATAGATTGGCGAGACAGAGAAATCAAGCTGGGAAGGATGTGCAGCAGGTGAGGTTGATTAAGGACAGAGGGGGGAATGTGATCACAAGTGAGGAAAGTGTGCTGAGAAGATGGAAGGAATACTTTGAGGAGTTGTTAAATGAGGAAAATGAAAGGGAAAGTAGAAACGAGGAGCCAGAGACTAGTAGGAAGAAGGTAGATCAGGTTAGAAAGGATGAAGTTAGAAAAGCCCTGAAGAGGATGAAGAGTGGAAAGTCAGTTGGTCCTGATGACATACCAGTAGAAGTATGGAAGTGTTTAGGAGAAGTGGCGGTAGATTTCCTGACTGGGTTGTCTAACAGAATTTTAGAGATGGACAAGATGCCTAATGAGTGGAGGAAACGTGTTCTGGTGTCAGTTTATAATCAGGGTGATGTACAGTGTTGTACCAACTACAGAGGGATAAAGTTGA